TTTGAATGCTGAGGCACACTTGTGAACATGGCAGAAGGCTGAGATGAGCTGCAGTTCCACTGTATTGCTGCTTCCATACCCTGTTCAGTACCTTCAGGCTCCTGCTCACATTGATACATTGTCCATTATCATCTTGAGGGGAGCTGTGGTATGGGAGAATCTGGATCATGCTGACGAGCTCTGAAGGAGGATGCTGGTTGTCAGGGATCAAAGGACTGGGAAGATGTCCTAGATCAGGACCTAGGAAGCCTCTGAAAAGGCTGCCTGTGATCCTGCAGGGTGAGGGGAGGGTGATAGCCTCTGCACTGACTGCCGAGTCAGTCCGAGACTCCCCGTGACACAGTCATGCTGATCTGGCACTGCTGCTGGGCTTTGGACACTCACATCCTCTTCCTGCTTTGATCTGGCTCTACTGCCCATTTGTTTGCTCCTCCATCATCCCTGCCTTCTGATGAGGCCTATCCTACCTTCATAGTTGAATTTAAACTTGAGGGGCTGAACAAACCCTAAGACTCAACAGGCATATGAGGTGAAGGGGAAGGGTGTGAGTGAACTGTCTCATATGGGTCTAAAACCCTTTTGTTTCATTTTCTGTCCTAGATATTGCTGTGGAGTTGCTGCAGAAAGTGGCTCCCAGCCCTATCCGCAGACTCCAGAAGAAATACGTGTCTCATGTATCTCGGTAAGAAGCAAAACCTGTCCCTTCCTGTCCCATGTCAGAACTGGGTGCTCTGGTCTCACCTGGTCCCCCTGGGCCAGCATTGACTTGTGCTTAAGCCTGATGGGTGTCAGAGAAGCTGGGGGCAGGTGGCAAGGACAGCAGGCACAGTGGCTTCCTAACACAGCCAGGCCTGCTTCAGGTTGCTCCTGTTCTCTGGGGTGTGCTCTTGTTACTGGGAGTGTGTACTGTCCAGATCTGTAGCTCGCTGGGTAGCCAGGTCTGAGCCCCGTGTCTGCTCTGGGCAGCCAAGCCCTCGTAGCATACCTGGCTGCAGGCAGGGCTGCTCAGTTTGGAGCTTCCTGTGCCCGGGAAGAGGAGCCAGGGCTTTTTGTTTTCCACCCTGCATCCCCATCCCATGCTGCAGCTCAGGACAGTCAGCATGAAGCTGGCGAGGCTGGGATGTATCTAGCTGTATATTTACTAAACCTCTCTACTACCTACATGGGGAGGGAGGAGCCAAGTTGTGCTATGGTGGCTGGGATGTTTGTAGCACATGGATAACCTTTGGGTTGTTTCTTGCCCTGTGGCACAGGGAAGCTTGCATCTCTCCCTGCTCCATGATGCTGGCACTGGTTTACATTGAGAGACTCCGGCACCGGAACCCCGAATACCTTCAGCAGATCTCATCTTCAGACCTCTTTCTGATCTCCATGGTGAGTGGTGTGGGCTGGGGTGTAACTGTGTTGAAGGGAAGCCAGGAAGAGTACAGGACGGACTAAGATGCTATCCTTTGTGCTGCTTTTAGATGGTTGCCAGTAAGTACCTGTATGATGAGGGTGAGGAGGAGGAGGTGTTCAACGACGAGTGGGGAGCAGCAGGGAAGGTGGATGTCCAGACCATAAACACACTGGAGATGAACTTCCTGAGTGCCATTGTAAGTGGGCTCTCACTGTGGCTGGCAATGTACTCCGTTGAAGGAATAGGATGTGTCTGGGTGCTGGATGGCCTGACTGCCCTGACCATTCTCTGCTATCCCCACAGGACTGGAGTCTCTACACAGATCCCCGGGAGCTGTTTGAAGTGCTGAGTTGGCTGGAAGGACGGTAGGTGTAGGGGGGTGAAGGTGAGTCTTTCATATACCTTGCAGCCCTGGCTCTGCCCCTGCTCAGAGCTGGCCTTGCTGCAGTGAAGTAAGAGGTTGGGGTATCTGTGAGCCTTTGCTAGGCTTTGCAGCTCCCTTCTGCAGACCCTGAGCAGGGTCTTCTCCAAGCCTGCCTGGCCTGATGCTTCTTTGCTGGTGAAGGTCTGTGCCACATCCACCATTCCCTTTTTCTTTGTTTCCTGCAGTGTGGCAGAAAAGCAGGGCATGTGGCGTGGCTGGTTCACATACACTGATCTGTGTGTTCTCATGGAGCAGTCCATGTGGCAGCATGTACTGGGCCAGTTCTACCAGCAAGTGGTGAAGGTAAGAACATGAAACAGCAGCTACGTGCAAGAACATGGGACCCATGGGTTTGGAGCAGAACCCTCTTTCACACTGGGAGCAGCAGCTTGGTTTATTCCGTGTTGAAAAGGGAAGCTGTCAGAAGCCAGAAGATTCTGATTTGCAGCTGTGCTGTCTGAGGCACTGGAGCCTGGTGCTGGGTTAGCCCGTGTTCTGTGATGGACTGCAGCGCCACAAGTCATGGTGCAAGGTCATAGTGAGAACTAGGTGCTGACTGGGGATTTAAACATGAACTGTTAGGATTTTAGGGGGAGTGCTGTGGTTTGTGGTATTTAAGCCTTACTTTGAACAGGCTGTGAGCCACCTGCTGTTACCAGCATCCAGCACTGGTGGTGCTGTTTGCCGTCACAGCTGCTCTGGGTCACAGGGGGCTCTGGGTGCTGCTGCAGGGTCTGGTCTAACCATTGGCTTCTCTGCAGCTGGCCTGCCTCCTGGGCGTGGTGTACCTGACTGGATTTGCTGCTGTCTTTGCCTCTGTCACCATGGTGCACCGGTCCATATGCGTGAGGAACATCGGCCCTGCAGCTCCCCAGCCTGCGCTCTTTCCCGAGGAGAGCAGCTGCCAGGTAGATGCCCAGCCAGCCCCAGCCCCTGACCAGCCCCAGCCCGAGTTGCCTGACGTCTCTCCAGCTAGCAGCACCCACTGCCCAGGGCAGAATAAGACAGCCAAGGAGCCGCGTCGAGTGGGGGTCACAGCGACTGCGCTCTACCTGTGGGGCAGCGTGATGACAGCTCTGTCCTACCCAAAGGCACCTGATCTAGCCCAACACAGGAGCCCTCTGCAAGGCCCCTTCCAGAGAGTACCCACTGCCTGTGAGAGATTGAACCGTACCACCTCTGTTGCAGGCCCAAGCCAACCTGGCCCCTTTGGACTTGCCACACTCCCAGTTCCTCCAGCGCTCCATTGCCACACCTGCTCAGCCAGCACGGGCCCCACGTGGGATGAAGCCCCCATCCGCAAGGACTGGCTGGACCGCCTAGGACTGAGGCAGTGCTCCTTGCACACTGCCATGGATCTCAGTAGAATCAAGAACTTCATTTTTCCCAGCTAGGAGCATGGGCCAGCAGCCCCTTTCCCCTTCCTTCCTAGTGTGGCACAACTCACTTCTTTGCACTTTGGGACCCCTGATCCCTGGGACTGCATGGGGCTGAAGGCCCCTGCGTTACTTCCAAACCAGCATTTGTGTGTTCTCCTCCCAGGGCAGAGGTGTCCTTCACTTTGGGGGCTGCTGGGACATGTTGGGGCAGAGTTGGTTTGCTGTTGGGGTGCTAGGGTGGGGGAACCTATAAGTTGGAGGTTAGAAATGGTTGCCCTTGAGCTGGGGTGCTAGAGCAAGGGAGGTTATTGTACCTTTTTCTAGAGCCAGTGGGTGGCCCTTGGTGCTGGGCAGAGGTGGCGTGTGGGATGTAGGATGCTGGGGCTGTGTGTGCTGGGTGGAGGGGCTGAGGCAGTGACCCTAGGGGGCAGGGTGACCCTAGGGGGCAGGGTGCCCCAGGAGGAGGTAGGATACCTGGGTTGGGGGAGAGGAGGTTGAAGGAGGAGGGGGTGAGTGGCCCAAGCAGGCTAGCCACAGCAGCAATTGCCCCTGGGGTCTGCCAGGCCACTTAGGAGGTGCAAGGGTCACATCAAGAGGGGACTGTGATGTGGCTGTGCCCTTCTGGGCTTGGAGGTAGTGGGGTGCAGTTAAGGCTGATCTTATCCTGCTTGTGTTGGGTGTTTTGAAAGTGGGGTGCTGTGTGACCCCATCCCAAACCTCAGCTCTCAAGTGGCTGTAAGCAAACAGTGCCTGACTGCTCCTCGGGGTGGGGGGAAGGTACCTTGTCTTGCTGACCAGCCCAGCTCAGTTTGCCCCTTCTTTTTACTGTGGATTTTACACTGTTTTTCACTCTTTTGTAGATGCAAATCTCTTCCAATAAAAGTAGTTCTTGCTGTGTGTGTTCCTATCCTAGTGAGCCACTCTGTGCTGGCAGCATGCAGTGAGGGGCTGTGCTTGCTCCCTGAGCTGGTGTGCAGGGCAAGATCCTACATGCTGCCAGTGCGCCCAGGAGTGCTGTGAGCATGTCCCACAGAGCTTGAGAGGGACCAGGCTCTTTGGTGACAGGGGGGGGCATTAGGTCTGATGCCTAGGGAAGGCAGGGGCAGTGGGGGAGATGAGGTTCCCCATGCTTGGGAATGTGGGGAATGTGTGGTCTCCACTGCTCTTTGCTCTCCAAAGTCTGCCCAGTTAATGAGTGAGCCCCAAACAACAAGGGCTTGGCAGGGTCACTGTTGTGGTTGCTGGCACCGCCACTGCTGCCCTGTGACAAAAACATGAGCGTCCTTCCTGCCTGTGCTCCCTTGGGAGCCCTCCCAGCCAAGCAGGCAGCGCTTGTCCCTGGCAGACTTGTCCAGTGTCAATATTCAGGGACCTTCTCCTAGGAGAAAGGGGGATGTGGTAGATCCATCCTCCTGGGATGGGCATCGTGCCTACAGAGGGAAACGGCAGGACCTGATGGGAGCTTTTAATAGGCTCTGCTGTGTCTGATGGTGGGGAAGGACTGGACCATGAGGACAGAGGGATGCTATGCTTTGGAGGAACAAGCACAGTCAGAGCATCCTGGAGCTGGAAGATGCTTCTGGTAGGGATGCTCCAAGCACATGAGGGAAGAGGTGGTTGTTCCGTGGCCCAGTCAGTCCCTGCTCTGTGCACCACAAAAGGCAGGGATGAGACTTAGGCTGTGGGCAGTTGGTACTGTCTGGTGTCCTGGCTCTTGCGGTGACAACCCAGGGTGACACTTGCATTCCTAGCTGCAAGGGCAGGTTACTCACCAACTCAAGTTAATGGCTAACCCTGAGGCAGTTCCTGTAGAAGGTGGAAGTTCAGCCCCATGATGCTTGTGAGGATCCCTTGGGGGTTGGGACCCTGCCCACCCCTTCTGCACTGCAAGCCAGGAACAGAGCTGGGGAGGCAGGAGCATGAATGGTGGCCACCGCAGAGTGCCTGGTGCCAGGAGCCCTGTGCTTGCATCCTGCTCCCTGCAGAAGATGTGGTCTTGGATGCTGAGCTGTTGCTTAGCCCTTCAGGTAAGAGAGGACAGTGGTGAGCAGCCAGAGAGGGGGGAATGGGGAAAGGGCTGAGATCCCTATAGGAGTCAGGGCAGGGGTTGCGTCCTGCCAGGCAAAGAGTGAGTGGGGCTCTGGCCAGGGTGTGCAGACAGGACAGTGGTGAATGTTGGCGGGGGGGTGTTGGTGAGTGTGCATTCAGCTGGGGGGACAAGAATGGGGGCTGCAGCTCTGGGGGCTGCAGCAAGCTGGGACCACCCCCTCTCTTCTCTGCACAGCACCTGGCTGTGCAGGCCTCCTTGCTCTGCATCTTCCACCTCCTCTTGCTGCCCACCCTGCCCGAGGAGCCACCCCACAGCCAGGCCACCAGTGAGCTGCTGGCACGCAGCCTCTTCGCCTGCGGTATCTCCACAGTGCTGCAGACCACCCTGGGAAGCCGGTGAGAAAGGGGGACAAAGCAGTTGGAGCTGTTGCTGGGAGAAGGGTGATGCCATGGCAGGGCATGTCTCTGCCCCCCTGCTAGGCTGTGGGAAGACAGGCTTTGCGGGAGGTGGGAAGGGGCACCAGGACAACCGCTTGTCCTGCATCCCTGCACAGATATCCCTCTCCCTGCCATCACTGCATCCTCCTGTCACACAACCCCCTAGGAAAACTGCTGTGCTTTTCCTCCAGCTCCTTGCTGATGTGCTCCAGCACCACACACAGCTCCTCCTGACTGTCCCCTGCCTGTGCTGCCCATGGTTCGCAGAGGCTTGCTGTGTGCTTTGGCAAATCCCCCGACCTCTGCTTGGGCTGTGCTAAGGGCACATTTGGGATATGGGATGACCTGCCACTTAGGGTTCTCGTCTCCTACCCTTCCCATCCCTCACTCCTATGGCAGGCAGGGCTTTGGAATAGCCATGTCCCCTCTTTCCTCTCTAATGTGCCCTTGCTGTCCCCTTCCCAGGCTGCCACTGGTTCATATCCCATCCTTCGAGTACCTGGTCCCTGCCATGGTGCTGAGCTCCCACCTGTCTCCTGGTGCCAGCATGGACAGGAATGGTGAGCACAGCCCTGGAGCCTTCTTCCCACAGGACCCAGGCCATGCTGGTGCCAGGGCATGTGCCCAGCACATGGGGTGGGGATGAGTAGCAAAGGGCCCTGCCTCCTGGCTCCTCTGGTGATGGTGCACAGCACCCTACTCACCCCTGAGTGCATCTGGTTGCCACCCTAGGGTCAGGGCTTATAGGGATGGGGATGCTGACCCTTCTCTGGCCGGCAGCCCCCACGCTGTGTGCTCTTGGACCTGGCTCCAGAAGCCCAGTGTCCATGTGCATCACATCATGCAAAACTCCCTTACAGGCACAGCTGTGGCCAGTGCATGCCGTGCACCACATTGCACTGTTGCAGGGAACTGGGCTGCCCCACTGCGAGAGGTGGGTGCTCCTGCACTGGGCTGGGAGTCCCTGTCCTGCTCCACCCATGCCCCAGGTGTTACCTGCATCCCTGAACCCCCAGCCCCTTTCCCAGCCCTCCTGGGGATTGCCATGAACAGTGGGGACACAAGGGGATGTGCAAAGGCAGTGGGGTTCATGGTTATGTGGGTGCATGTGTTCCTTTGGGCCTGGGGTGAGCAGAGCACAGGGAAGAAGTGACGCTACTGGGGTAGTGGGAGTGTGTTCAAGGGAAAGCATTGGTCTGCTCTCCATGCATCCTGCTGTATGGACCCCATCATTTCCTCCCACAGGTCTCTGGAGCTGTGCTGGTCTCTGGGCTGGTTCAGCTAGTGCTGGGAGTGTCTGGTGTGTGTGGGTGGGCAGCCCAGCACTGTGGTCCCATGGTCCTGGCTCCCAGTCTCTCCATCATCGGGCTGTCTGCTTATAAGGAGGCTGCTTTCTTCTGCTCCACTAACTGGATGGTAGCTCTGCTGTACGTGGGCTTCCCTTCACCATGGAGATGGGAATGGGGCATCCTCATGCTGCACAGCGCATGTTTGGGACCCCATCACCGCGATGCTGCATGGTGACCCGTTCTCCCTCTCCTAGGCTCATGCTTCTTACTGTCACCTTCTCCCAGCACCTGGGGTCTTGCCGTCTGCCCTTCTGTGCCTGGCCCCAGGCTTGGAGGGGCTCCATGGAACCATCTGTGCCCACCCTGCGCACATTCTCGGTACCAAAACTTATATGCCCCACTCCCTCCGCTTCACCCCGTTTTCTCTCTAAGCCTGGTTCTTCGGTGTGGGGTTGGGGTTAGGGTTAGGGTTAGTTGGAGCAGAGGTGAGAGCAGAGGCAGCGGTGAGGAGTCCTGGTGTAACTCTCAGGGTCTGGGTGCTGCTGGGGAAGCATAGAGGACCTCTGCTCAAGGGTATAGGAGCAGCAGAGCCTGGGATGCTCCCTGCAGGGATAAGGGGAGATATAGCATGGGTCTTTGGGAGAGGTGACAGGATGAGGACCTGTTTGGGGCACAGCAGATGGATGGGGAGGAGGGTGCTCTGCTGAGTGTCCCCTTGCTGCCTTGCAGGTACTACTCCCATTTGCTGGTGCCTGCATCCTCTGTGCTATCCTCAGCCATCTCCACATCCCCTGGGAATCGCTTGACCTGGCCATGGCCCGGCTGTCCTGGGCCAACACCACCTTCCATGTCCCTTGGGTCCGCATCCCCTACGCAGGTGGGGGCCAGCAAGGCTGCATGCAGCCATCACCCTTCAGCCAGGGCCTCTATCACCAGTTCTTTCTCCTGCTGCAGGCGAATGGGGGTGGCCGCTGCTCACCCCCCGGGCGCTGGCAGTGGGCATCGCCATGGCCATGGGCTGCAGCATGAACTCGGTGGGCTGCTACGTGCTGTGTGGGCGGCTGCTGAGAGCCCCCTGGCTGCCCCCTGACACATGCAACCGGGGGCTCTGCACGGAGGGGCTGGGCAGCCTCCTGGCAGGGCTGCTGGGTGCCCCGGGGGGCACTGCCGCCAGTATTGCCAACGCCTGCGCTGCTGGCCTCACCCAGGTATGGCTGGGGTTGGGAGGAGGGTCGGCAAGGGATGGAGAGGCAACGGAGCAGGAGGGGTGGGTGACCTGCAGCACCTAGGCTGTCACTAGATCATCGCTGGGAAAGGCAGGTCTGTATGGCAGGATGGGAGGGGGGGCATGGCAGAGTGGGGAGCGATGCTCCCTGTCCTCACTTTCCTGTCCCTTCTACCAGACTGGCTCTCGCCTCTCAGTGCAAGTGAGCGCACTGGCGTGTGTGGTGCTGGGCATGTCCCCAAGGCTGGTGGGGCTCCTCACCCGCATCCCGCTGGCTGTTCACGGTGGGTACCCTGCCATTCCCCTGCACTCTGGTGCCTGCAGCCTGCCTGGCACTGCCTGACTCCTGCCCCCCTGCAGGAGGGGTACTCTGCATCACCTATGCCGTAGCCGTGGGCACAGGGATCTCCTACTTCCAGTATGCAGACATTGACTCGGGCAGGAACATCTTCATCGTTGGCTTTGCCATGTTCATGGCCCTCCTGGTGCCGCGGTGGTTTGGCACGGCTCTGGCTCACCTGGCCACAGGTAGCAGGGACATTCCCCAAGGAAGGCACAGCCTCAGGCCCTGTGGCAGGGTGACCACGCTTCTCCAATGTCCTGGGAGGCTGGGTCAGCTCACACAGCAGGCAGATCCCTCTCCAACTCCTGAATCTGCCATGGCAGCTCCTGGTCCTTTCCCTCTTGGACTGGGATGTCCTGGGTGATTCTGGCACCATCTCTTGCAGGCTGGGTGCCGTTGGACCTCCTCTTCCTTTCCCTGCTCATGGCACCTGTGGTCTTAACTGGCTCCTTGTCATTTCTATTGGAGAACACAGTCTCAGGTGAGGGGCTGCTCTAGGTACTCTGTGTAAGCCCCTGCTCTGAGGGCTGCATCTGCCCATGGGACTGCCTGCAGGCAGCCCTGCTGTGGGTCCCAGAGCTGGTGTAGGCTGGAACAGTGCAGCTGGAGGAAGGGGCTCCCATCACACTGCTCACCTCTGTGCTTGCAGGAACCTTGGAAGAGCGAGGGCTGCTCTTTGAGCTGGGGCCATGGAGAGCTGGGCTAGGTGACCGCCATGCCCATGGAGAGAGAGGGAAAGCCAGCCAGGCACATGGGCTTCCACCTGGGCTGAGCAGGCTGCTGCCATCCTCCTGCAAAGCCTTCCCCTGCTGCTTCCTTTGCCCAAGGAGCGAGGAAGAGGAGGAGAAGGAGGACAAGGAGGAGGGCAGCTGTGCCACTGAGGAGGGCACCACTGCCCCTGAAGAAGGGACGCACCTGCTCCCCAAACCTGGCTCAGGGGAGCCACAGCCACCCAGGAGGACGAGTGAGACGGCTATGGCTGCATGGACACAGTGGCCTGACCCTGCAGAGTGCGGATACCTCATGGTAGACCAACGTTGTGCCCCAAAGACAGCTTGCGAGCCACTTTGCTCCTAGTTTCTGAAGCCCACATGGACTGAAGGGACTTGTGCTCCCACACTCCCAGCACAAACCCCATTTCCTTGCTTGGGAGTGAGGTATAAAAACCTTCAACCAACTTTGCTCTCTTGAGGGATTTCCTTTCTAGCCAGGATTTGCCTGTGAGATACCAGCCCTCCCTCCCCTGGTAGCCTGAGGACTGCAACCACAGAGGCCACAGCCATCTGGTGCCACTGCAGCTGGGGATGTGGGTGCCATCAGCCTGTGGACATGGCTGGGAAAGGGCTCAAGGGCTCAGTGCTTTGACCATCCCCAAAGGGCTCTGCTCACCTCTGGCACCATGTTCAGGAAGGGCTGGCGCTCCATCTCCTCCCTGCTGTGTCCCAGCTGCGCCCATGGCCCCTTGATGCCCATGGCACTAGGTCTATACTAACACCCTGGTACACCAGCATGCTGCAGGCTGGGGGTGCAGCTCAGGTCAGCTCTCCAAAGCAGTAAACCCCTTTTCACCTGCAGTGGGTTGATCCCAGCAGCACTCACCATTTAACTGCCAGCACTGGATTTCTCTAGGGAAAAAACCAACAACATTGAAATGTTGCCTGTGACCCCCGTTATTAAGTTCAGTTCCTGGATTGTTTCCCACCACTGGCTGGTTACACCGACTACAGCAGAGCCTGCACCAGCCCTGCTCACTGCTGCAGCCTTTATTGCGGATCAGAGTCCACGGGTACTCCCCACACTGCCACCACCAGTCTGGACCAGCCTGCAAACGCACAACAGTGGGGCAGGAATGGCCAGGGTTTTGCAGCCTTTGGGTGATGCAAGCTCGCCCTAGGTGCAAGCTCAGAGGAAGGATAAATTTGGGCTGGGGGGATGGTGGAGCTTATGGGAGCGTCCTACCTGGGCCCTGCACCCGTCTGGCCCTGCACTCCGTGCATGACGCGGTCCAGCACTGTGCTTGGATCCTGTACCCCAAACCCTCCTGCACCCTCATCTGTCCAGGCAACCCCATCCATCCTGCACCCTGCCTGGGTTGTGCACCCTATGGCCCCTGTCTGCTCCCACACACCCTAACAACCCTTCCGGATGCAAGTGTTGCGGGATGACACTCCCCCGTCCCGGTCCCGCCCCGAGGGCGGTGGCAGCCTGCACGGGAGGGAGAGGTTTGAACGCAGGGCATTGACAGGGTGCAAATGGGGGGAGCTCGGGGGCTGTGCATGGGTGCAGGGTGGTTGGCCTCAGTGCATGGGGTGCAGGTGGGGGATCAGAGTCAGTGCATGAGTGCTGGGGGGTGTCAGTGCCCGGGGTAGGGATGGGGCTGTGATGAGCTTGGCGGGGCTGGGTGTACACCGTGTTCACGGCCGCTGCCAGGCTGTCACAGTGCTGCTCTGCGGTGTCCTCTGAACCCAGTCCCTGGGCATGGAGGCAGAGGCACCTGCAGCCCCAGCTATGTGGGGCTCGCTGGGGTGCAGCGAAGTCCCAGCAGAAGCGTGGGAGAGCTGCGGCATGGGTGCATGCCCTGTGCCGTGCCTGCGCGGGCACCCTGGGGCTGCTTGAGGAATAAACCCGGGGCCAAGGGAGCGGACCCCTGGGTGCTGCTGCCTCTCCCGCAGTCCCTTGTACCAGGATGTTTCGTAACAGCAGCAAGCGCAAAACAAGCCGTGAGGCGTTTCAGTCCCCAGCGCTTTGCGCAGGGTCTCGGCCATGGCACCTGCTGTGATAACTGGAGATGCCCAAGCCGTGCCAGCTCAGGTCCCGTCCCTGTGAGCTGCCGGGGGAGCAGGAGCGCTTGCTCCCTGGGCTCTGAGGAAGCGAGAGCCGTTCCCCGCCGGTGACCCGCAGCGTGCACATCCCATCCCAGCGCGCCCCGCGGCAGAGAGCAGCATGCTGGGAGCTGCAGTCCCGCACTCGCCCCCGGCCGCTGCAAGCCCGTCACCCAGGCAGCCTCTGGCCCACCTGCTCCTCTTGCCCCCGGGTAACTCCGCGGCTCACCAGTGCTGCGGGCTCGCTGGGATCACTGGGTGCCCCAGTGCTTGAGCCCGTCACAGGGAGGAGCGGGAAGCGGCGGTGCTCGCGGGCAGCGTGCGCTGCTGCCGGCACTCTGCCGGTACTGATGCAGGCAGGGTACGGTGCGTGGCTCACGTGGAGCACGGGGATGGGATGCCCAAGCACGAGGGGGACTGCAGCATCCCCCTGCCCATCTCAGTGCAAGCTTAAATGTTAATTTGGATGTAGAGATCTTGCCGTATTAATGGTAGCAAGCACTGGAAAATGCCGGGGAGCCAGCAAGTACATTGCTGTGTGTCTGCTGGTGTGTTTGGGATGCTTATTGTGAGCTGGGGTAGAAACTGCCCTGCGCAGAGCTCCCCAAAATGCCTGTCTCAGCAAAGCGGCATGCCTGTGCAGGGATGTGTGTGGCTGGAGCTGGCTGAGCACCCTCACCTCTGGGCTGCAAAGTGGGGCTGGCATCATGAATGGGTGGGCAGGGACCAAGGGTCTGTGTGAAGCCACCCCAAGGCCTGGGGTCTTCCTGGGTTTGGATGAGGCAGAGACATGATTGCTCTTTTGCAGATGGAGGGCTCCAAGGAGCTGGAGAGCAGCCTCCTGACACAGCCCTGGGCTTCCGTTTGCCTTAGCGAGTCCACTTTTATTGCCAAAGTGTGCTTCAGGGATACTGGCTACATCCTGCTCATCTCTGACCTCAGCAGCGTCTGGTACGAGAGTGCAGATGCCGAGGCTGTGGGACAGAGGTCCAAGGTGAGTGTCTGGAAAATCCAGGGACTTCCTTTTCTCCTTGTAGCAGCTGACATCCTAGCACAGACTGCTTGGTGACACAAAGACAATTGGATCTGACAGGGCTCAGGTGCAAACACCTGGCTTGGGAAGTCCCTGAGCAGCTCTGCCCAAGCACTGCTACCCTGGATGGCCAAGCACCCTCCTCCTGGGAGAGTGGGCCAGGCTCTTTAAGATGCCCAGGGCAACTAGATGTTTGCTGGGGCTGCATGCTGAGGCTGGCACACTTGTTTCCTCTGTGGGCTGGATGGACAGCTGGTTTCCCCAGGATCAGTGCTAAAGGAGAGCTTGAAAAAAGGCTGCCTTTCCACAAGGGATGGGGAGACTCCTGCTCACATTCAGAGGAGGCAGAGACTCCCATGGGATGCCCTCTTAGCACAGCCCCCAAAACACATGGGGCCATGCCTCATCCCTCACCCCAACCCGTGTCCCCCCATGCCTAGGTCACCCCTGTCTGCCATGGCCCTCTGCCCACAAGGCACTGTGCTGAGCAGCTGCTGGCAGGAGCGGTGGGCATGCAGGGTCAGCCATCTCCTAGCACTGGCAGGTTAGCTGAGCTGTGGCAACCCTCAGCCAGCCTGGGACACTCGTAGTGGCATGCAAGGCAGATAGATGCACTAGTGGAGACTTTTGTAACACTGGGACATGCAGAAGTAGCTTGGCTCCTTCTGTGCTGGAGTTTCTGCTGCTTGTTTCCCAGCGCCGAGCTGCCAGGGCATTGCTGTACCCCTGAACTTCCCTTTCCCCAGGAGCTGAACAAGCGGCTGACAGTCCAGGTGTCCTCCTTCCTACACCACTTACGCAAACTGATGGGCCCCTTGCTGGCAGGGCAGCCGGATGCCACCACCTCCTTCTCCTGCCGCCGCACTGCCAGCGGGCTCAGCCTGCACGTGAAGAGCGAGCTCTCAGGACTGCCCTTCTACTGGGACTTCCGCTGCTGCCCTGCTCCTGTGGAGATGGTGAGCGAAGCTGCGGAGAGTCTGGGGAGGGGGATGGCCAAAATCAAGGGTTGTCTCCTAATGCTTGGAAGCTTTTGGGTGGTCTCGGGCTGTGCTGGTGGCTGTAGGGTGCCTGGCTCTGCCTGCTGCCCCTCACACAGAATCACAGAACAGTTTGGGTTGGAAAGGACCTTAAGGTCATCCAGTTCCAACCCCCCTGCCCTGGGCAGGGACACCTCACACTAGACCACGTTGCCCAAGGCTCTGTCCAGCCTGGCCTTGGACACTGCCAGGGATGGAGTATTTACCACTTCCTTCAGCACCCTTCCTTCCAGTGCCCCACCACTCTTACAGTAAAGAATTGCTTCCTTATATCTAACCTAAATCTCTTCTGTTTAAGTTTAAACCCATTGCACCTTGTCCTATCACTACAGTCCCTAATGGAGAGTCACTCTCCAGCATCCTTGTAGGCCCCCTTCTCTTCTCCAGGCAGAACAGCCCCAACTTTCTCAGCTATTTTCCTGTGGGAGGTGCTCAAGCCTTCTTATCATCCTCGTGGCCCCCCTCTGGACTTGCTCCATGTTCTTCTTATACAGTTCCATGTCCTTCCTACAGTTCACTGCCCTATTTCTTCAGACTGAGGCTTTGGCACCTTGGTTTGGTGCCTTGCAGTGAGTTAGGGATGGCCCAGCATGTGCTGGTACCCCGGCAGCAGGGAGTTGTCCAGTTTGTGATGAGACCCTGTCAGCACTCCGCACAGCAGAATGATGCTGTTCTCCTTTGGTGCATGCCATGAAGTGGGGCACAGAGCAGTGGATACCCCCAAAGGACCCGCAGGGGCTCCATCACAACTGCGGGAATGAAAGTGGCGTCTTCCCGTCTTTTAAGAGGCTGCTCTTACCACGGGATAGCCCAACACTGCGTTTCGGGGGGGCAGCCCCTGCAGACCCATCACAAGCTGCATTTGTGACCCGCGGCGGACCCCCTGGCAGGCGGACCGGGGATGCACGGCCCCCCCCCGCCCGCCCGGGTCCCTCCTGGTCCCCGGCCCTGCGGCCCTGCGCGCACAAGAGGGCGCCCGGTACCCGCTAACCGCTCAGCGGGAGCCGCCGGTGGCAGCAGCCCTGCGGCTCCGCTGCCGACGGGGAGCAGCGCCCTCCATCCCTGGCACCCGCTCCCAGCGGGTCCTGGTGCGGGTCCTGCCCTTTCTCCCCCGGAATGCTGTGCTTGGGCATCACGGGGAGGAGCGCTGGGCTCCCCACCCGCCCTGGGGGTATCTGTCCTCACTTTCAACGTTGAAATGGGGAGCAAATAAACCCAAGGTCCTGGCTTGGCCTGACTTGCTGTCCCTCCCTGGGCAAGAAGCATGGAGGCTGAGCTGAAAAGTGCAAAGCCTGAGCACTCAGTTGGTAGCTGCTCCACTCCTTTTGCTTGGAAATGTGAAGGATGTCTGCAAGAAATGGGAATCAGTTGGATGTTGAGTGTGGCTGTTGTGGATGTGGGAATGAAGAACAACTCTGCCTCGCTAAGATCGGCTCAGCAGCTAGCCAGTGGCTCCAGGCCGGCACAAAGCCCTCCTGGCAAAATGCTGCTTGCCTGCCCTGTCCCAGCTCTGCAGCCAGTGGTCTCCTCTGAGTGCTTGAGTGCATGATGGTTGTCACCTCTGCAGCTCATCCCTGGGGCACATGGCAGGATCTGTGCTCCCTCCTGCACCCCAAATGGCAGGTGGAGCATTGCCTATCCTTGCACACTGTCCCACTCAGGGTATCCCACCCAGTCTTTCACCTGCTGCAGTTCTCAGCTGTGAAAGGATGGGGCTGGGATGGAGGGATGTGTCCTGTAGCATCTGGCCTCCCTTCTCCCAGCTCATGTTTTTTGATCGCTTCCCACTGGATTTGGTTGACACATGGAGTATCTTGGGGAGCTCTGTGTGAGCTGGGGTGCAGCTCTTGCTATGGCCTTCCTGCCTGCCCTGCTCCCATGGGGCTTTCCTAAAGTGTCCTTCCTCCATCCTAGGTGTCCCGCCACCTCGTCAGGCCCTTGATTCAGATGAGCCTGGTGCTGCAGTCCCAGGTGCAAAAGCTGACCTCCCTGCTGCTTCAGAAGGATGCTGAGATTGAAGACTACAGGGAGAGTGGGGCCACTCTCAGCAGAGGTGAGAAGGGATGCCTAGGGCCAAGAGAGGAGCAAGCAGGGAGTGAGTTTCCTCTTTAGCATGGGGCTGGCATGCTCTGCTCTCTCTGGCTATTACCCAGCCAGGCTTGTTTCATGTTCAGCTGTGCTGGCAGCAAGATGGTAGCCAGGAGGTTAGGGAGCAGCCCCTGGGGAGGAATGGCCCTTGACCGGGAGCTGGAGGAGCTGGGGAGTCGCCAAGGGGCTCTCCACTTCACCTGGCTGTTCCCCAGGAGTCGGTGGGGATGCCAGCGGGGGCTGGCCCTGCAGCACTGTCAGGCTCCCTTCCCAAGCACGGTAGCTCCCGAGTGCTTGGAGAGCAACCAGGGGCTCACAGCTCTCCCTGCCATGGCAACCACAGCCATGTGTGTGGCCCCCCTTCAGCGCCCAGCTTACCTCACCACCAGCTGGGACAGGCGGGAAGAAGCCTTCTGGGGTAGGACGTGGGTCAGGACCTTCTCTGGGGAGCCACCCTGGGGAGGTCATCCTCTGCCCATGCAGGCTGGCTGGGAGCTGGTTTTCGGCTCATTCCTTGCTAGTGCTGCGCTCTGTCTGCTGCCACAGGTGATGCCTGCCCTTCCATAGGAATTTTGCCCCTCGCAGATGTGGGGACTGATGGGGAACTCACAGGGATCAACCCTGCCTTGCTTATCATAGCCAGGAAGGTGATGTGGTCCAGACCCTATCCAATGGCAGGCACCCCACCACAGAAGCCTGGATCTTCCCTGCAGCTGCACTAGAGTTGCATCAGCTGGCTGCTCTCCCCTCTCTTCTGATGCATGCTGGCCCTGCAGCCAGAACAACCTGGTTTGGGCCCAGGGACTGATGCTGGTAGGCAGATGGCCTCTCTTGTTTCTTGTCTGGGCAGGGTGGGATGCTGCTAGGAAGCTTTGGACCAGTGTTGCTAAGCAGAGCTGGCCAGGTGCTTCTCCAGACAACATCTTAGCAATGATGGGGGAAAATCAGTGTTTTGAACAAGGTGCAGAGCACAAGCTCTTCTGCTGGCTCACGGGTGAGTGTGCTGAAGCTGTTCCCTGCAGTCCGCTCGCCTCACAGGCAGGCAAAGGGGGAGCCAGGGTCAGAGGTCTGGCCAGATCTGTCCAAGCTCATCCCTGCTTTCCCTTGCAGATCGCCTGCGGACGGAGCCCTTCCAGGAGGAGACGTTTCAGCAGCACTTCATGGTTAAGGTAAGGAGCTGTGCAGGTGCTCCCTTCTTTGACAAACGAGTGGTGGGGAGCTGACACCAGCAGCCCCAGTGTGAAGCGTGCTGGGCTGGATGGGGACACTGCTGAACTTGCCTGGAGAGGTGTAGTGGCCACTGGCTCTCCCATGGCCCTCCTTTGTGTCCTTGCACCTCCTCTGGAGAGTGAGCAGAGCTGGGGGCATGCCTGGTACAGCTGGATGGGGAGGTGCCACCATGTTTTGTCATCCTCTTGCTGCTTACCTGGCTGCTGGTTGTTGCTAGGGGTGCAAACTGGGCTGGCTGCTCCATGGGAGTATGTCGTTACTGTGGCATCCTCACCTGCCTCCCACACTTGCTGTGGATCTGAAACACTGATGCTGATATCAGGCAAGGAGCAGGTAAATGAGGAGAAGCCATCTGCTCCTTTTGGTTCATCTGCTGCTTTTAGGGTGGCTTTCCAGTGGTGCATTGTGGGGACAAGTGCCTTTCAGCCTGTTTTCTGTGCTGTGGGATGCTCATCCTTTTTGCCCTCCCCTTGGCATGCACGGCTGTAAAATCAGACATGTGCTTTGGAGAAACTGGGGCTGGAAGGAGAGAGTCTTTCCTCTGATCTTTTTTCATTACTGGAAATAATCACAGAAGCACTAAAATGATTCAAACCAATGTGGTAAGATCAGAAAGGATTGATGCCCATTGATGTGAAATGACTCAGGGTGCTTCAAGTGTCCCTGTGCTCATTGCAAAGGCACAGGAGCGAGGAGCAGTGGTGTCTGCTGGGCACCAGGGAGTCAGCCAGGGTGTCCATGGTGTCCGGAGGATATTGCTTCATGAGACACACACTGGTGGTCCTGTACAGCCAGCAACAAACCACCTGCAGGGTTTCTAAATATTAGGGATGATCCCTCTTTTTGCATTGCCTCCAGCACAGGGAGCTTTCATTTCCCCCTGGTTATGGTGGATAGAGATGAATTCACTGCTGGACTGCAACTTAGAGGTTGCCTAGGGGCCAATGATCATGAGCAGATTACATTCACCCTGGGCAAAGAAAGGACATTCCTAAACTGTAATTTATATCCTTCATGCTTTGAAAGGGCTAATTTCCCAAAGCAGGGGGGAAATTATGAGCAAAATCAGCTCAGAGGAAACATTTAGATAGAAAAATGTGAATGAAAATGGTGAGCCCTTTCAGAAGAATTTCAGAAGCCACAAAAAGCCACAATTCCACAATCAAGAAAGAGGGCAGCGCTGGCCGAGAGCCCGTTCTGGTTCAGCAGCAAACTGAAGGCAGCAATTAGAAATAAAAGAGCAGTTTATAACAAATGGGGGAGCGGGAGTAGATAGCAATCAGTATAAATTAGAAATTATGAAGTGTAGAAAATGGATAACAGAAGCTAGAGACATCAAGGAAAAATCATGGAGAAGGAGAGAAGGAAAGGCTTTTATTTAGTGTAGTAGGAGAAAACCCCAAGCTTCCAGCAACGGGATAAGCTTAATGGTAGATGAAGGTGGTAAAATGATGGATACTGGAGCAGACATGGCAGAAGTAGTTGGTAAGCGTTTCGGTGCTGTCGCTGGAAGGATGCAGATGGATGTGCCAGGATTGGGGGATGATGAAGTGTGTCTTTGTCCAAGGGTCAGCTCAACGATATCTGCTAAAGATGAGCATCAGACTTGAAACTCCAGAGTCCTTCAAGAGCTGGTAGGGTGTGGGGCACGGGCGAAGGTGCTCGGTGGTGCAGGGTGGGCAGGAGGGCAGTGATGCAGCCCTGCATGGAGGCTTGCACAGGCAGTTAGTGGGGAGCTCATCTGTCAGGCTTAAAAGATGGGAGGGCAGTTGGTGCTGTGTGTGCCGAGAACAGTCCAGCAGCAGCATCTTGGGGCTGGAGCACCATACGGGGAATGGGAGGGACTGGGAGATGCTCTCCCTCTGCATCCTCTGGCAGCCAGATCTCAGCACCAGCACCAGGGGAGCAGTGGTAGAGGGATGCAGTTGTGTGTTCGGTCTGCCTGGGGGATCTGTCTTCTCTGCATTCATCCTGTTGCTTTATAAACCCACTGATGATGCTTTTGGCCCATGTATCATCCTGTGGCAATGAGCCGTGAGATATGAGCAGCTGCTGCCTTTGGTTTGAATGTGGTACCCTGTTGTTCCTCCTGATGCCTCCTAGGTCTTGTGTTAGTGAGGAGCACCAAACACAGCTGTGCAGCTCTTCTCCACCAAAACTGGCTGTTCACCCTTATTCACTCCCTTCTCGTTCTGCAGCAGAAGGGTGGGCTGGATGATCTCGTTGTCTCTTGGCAGGTATTTCAAAGCCCCTGGGCAATTCAGCCCTCCATTTACCAGCTCCAAAAAGAGCAGCATGAGGGGCTGGGGTCCCTTGGGACATGCCATGGGGAGCTGGGAGGGCAGCAACCGACTCCTGTGTCTGGGTTTTCCAAAAGACGCCGGACAATCAGCACAGAAGTCGCAGGAATGAATTGAGGGCTGGGGAGAGAGCCCAGCATTGAGAGACTTGGAAGGGAAGAGCTCTGTCTGCTTATCAGGGAGAAAATTGAGAGGCGCCTTGATTACAGTGCATGAGGGTCTTTACAAGGAGAAAATGCTGCTTAGAGAAGGGCTGTCTTTAATCTCGCGGAGAGCAGGGAGCACAAGCCAGGCACCAGGAGCCAGAGCCAGGCAATTTCAAGCTAGGACGGAGGCATTTGGGTTTGCTCCCATGGGCGATTAACAATTGAGGCATGCTCCCAAGGGCAGCGGTTGGTTCTCCATCTCTTGATGTCTCCAAAAGTGGGCTGGGAGCCTGCCTGGAAGAAAACCAAGTTGCTGGGATCGGTCTCGGGATGTGCATGGCTGAACATCAGTGGGCAGGAGGTCAGGAGGAGAGGTCTGATGGTCCTTCCAGCCTCTCCCTTTGCAAAACAGGGCCTCAGGTTGTGGATGTTTGGTAGTGGTAAACACCTCCTGGCTGGAAAGGTGTTGTGATTGGTGTGGCACAGGGCTGGCAGGAAGCGGGAGAGTGCTCCACAGCTTTGCTTGCTTCCCAAACCTTTGCTGCTTCCTTCATGGAGAGGAAAGGACCTGCCAGTCCCTGAGGGCACAGCTGCATAGCCTTAAATGTGCCCTTTCCCTGGGCTCGTGTGCACTTGGCTGTCCAGGGCATTTTAACTAATCATGGGGAGTTTTCCAGCTAAGCCCTGGGAATATTTATACGTTTAGGAAACGACGCTTTCACACACACAGTTTTTGGCAAGGGTTCACTGCTGAGCAGCTGCCTGGGCTTGGGCAGAGCTGCAGGGAGAGCGGTGGCTGCGCACGAGCTGAGGCAGAGCTGGCAGCTTTTATTGGCAAGCCCAGGGGTTCACACCGTGACGGGGAAGAGCATGCAGCTGGAGAGAGCTCAGTGCCTCGGGGCTGCCCCGGCACCCTTCCCAGCAGCCTAGGACCCAGCAGGTTGCGGGTATTGTGTTGCCAGGTGTCCCTTTGGGTTACAGAGATGACCCCATGGGCAGCATGAAGTGCCCACCCATGGGCTTTGAGAGCTTGCCCCAGCCTGGCCATGGTTGATGTTTTCTGACACAGCTTTGAGGCCCTCAGTGACATGGGTTAGTGGTGGACATGGCAGTCCTGGGGTACAGGTTGGACTTGATGATCTTAAAGGTCTTTTCCAGCCCTAGGTGATTCCATGATTCTGCCTGGTCTGGCTCAGCAAGGGTCAGGGGGTCCATGCAGCGCCACGCTCCTGTCCCCAGGGACAGCAGGGACAGGTAGGCTGGGGACAAACTCACTGATACCATCAGTACAGATATAGCCAGGATGCTTTGCCCTGTGTATTTTTATCTGCCGTGGCCGTTGCGCACAGTGGTGGCTGCTCCGCACCTCCGCAAGGGGAGAAGGGACCTCGGCAAACAGGACGTGGCGGGTTCATGGCTCGACCCCGCGGCCCGGTGAGGAGGAGGAGGAGGATGTGCCATCAAAACAAGCAACGCCGGAGAGGAAGATAAACAAACAGGCGGCTTCCAGCACGGCCCCAGCCGAGGGCGAGTGGGAGCCCAGGGGCCAGGGCTGGCGGTGGTGCCGGGGGCAGTGCTGGCTGACGTCAGGGCGCCCGGGGGTCAGCGTCCCTCTTATTGTTCCCCACCAGCACTGGGATGGGGGCCAGGCACCCGTCCCCGTTCCGCGAGGGGACACGGGCCAGTGGGGCAGGTGGAGCATGGCTGGGGCACCCAATGGAGGCTCTGGGCATCACACCCCGGGGTGCAGCCGGCCACCTGCCCGCACGCTGTTGCCTCTGCTTTTAACAGGCACTAAAAATAAGCCCCATGGAGCGGAGCTGCCGCAGTCTGGCCGTGGGTGAAGGCGGCGGTGGGCTGTGCACTGGGCAGGGCGGGGACGGCATCCCTCAGACCCGCGCCAGCCCGGTGCAGCAGGGAGGAAGTGGCCTTTTGGCTCCTTCCAACCAGGGATGTTTTTAATTAGCGCAAGGTAGCTGTGGCTTTGCAGCTGTGACCAGGCCAGAGCGGGGCCGGCGGCGTGGGCCTGCTCGCACGAAGGGTGCATGGCTCAGGGGAGAAGGTGCCAGGCTGGGTTCCCTTGGCGCTGGCTGGGGAAGGAGCTGGCAGACACGGTGCTGCTGCTCAGTAGGGCTGAGCGGTGCCAAAGTTGCACGGCCCCGGGCAGGCTGGCTCAGGGCAGAGGAGGCAGCGTTGGGGCTGGGGTTTGGGGATGCTTGGGTGAGCAGAGCAAGCTCTTGTGTGCAGCCAAGCATCTGTGCTGTGCTCGTCCGGTGAGACCCAGGGTGCCTGGGTTGTGTTCTGGTCTCCAGCAGCTTGTGGGGTGTGGGGTCCTGGCTTCATTCCTGAACAAGCTTTGGTCACTGTTTCACTGGAGCCATTGAGTGTGGGTCCCATGCTGGAAACACAGTGGGCTGCAGCCGCGCTGGGGGAGCTGGGGTACACACTGGGCTGTACACATACACACATGGAGCTGTCTGCTGCTGCGGTCAG